AGCAATAATAAAAATCAATAATTTGAAAGAACAACGTTAAACTCAAGAAATATGAGGAATTCATTGTGACTGAAAGTAGAATAAAGTACATATTCCTTAAATCTTATCGCTGTGACAAGATGGGGAAGGAAGGGAACAACCACAGCACCTGAGTGAACTTTTCTAAATTTTTTGTTCAGAAGAAAATAAAATTCCATAATAAGATAAATAGAAAGGTACCCTTCAATTTCTAGAAGTGATGCAGCAAAGACAGCTTTATAGTTACTTTTAACTGAACTATGCAGCTTTCTGGAAATGAAAAAAGAAATAAATAAGGCCTATTCTGTGCAAAAGAGAAAATGAGATGATTCATATGTTATTAAATTAATGCTTCTCATTATACAAAGAGATCTAAAATTTACAGCCAAAGAATAGAGAACAAACAAACTCCCACAAATGTTTAATTGTGCTTAAAATGTCACAGAATAATTCGTTTTGTACCATCAAAGCTTCCTACCAAATTTATTCCCACGTCCAAAGCTTGGCGAGTCAAAGTTTTCAAACCACTGAACCTAGAAAAAAACTTAATTAACTGTTTCTTCTGTTATTTGCTGCAGGCCCAAATTATAAGGAACAACACAGACTATAACAGAATAAGGCCTTTTCTTTTATCTCACCTAAGAAAAGCATACTGATGAAAAAGTCCCACAAACGATGACCTTTTTTCCCAAACTACTGAGTTGAAAGGTCTGAAGAATGTCAACAGTTGCAAAATGTTTAATTATGTGATGTTATATCATTAGAGGGTTAATGAGACAAATCACTCCATTTGGTATACAGTTGTACACCAATTAAAAAGGAAATTTCTTTCAGGTGGACCGGTGCAAAAATAGCATGTGAACATGTTTTATGAATGCTGACCACCACTGTGGGGAGTCTCTCTGAAAAACACTCAGGAATGTTTGGAGGAACATGGCAGAGAGGATGAGCAGAGCTGTTAATGAATTGGAAATGCATTGAGGGCACATCTTGTAAAACGAAACAATGACACAGGTTGAGCCAACAGCCCCATGAAATCATGAGAAGTCTCCATCTGGCATGTAACAGCACTAAAAATAGCCTGACCTTATTTACACATCTATCAGGTTATCAGTTGTGGCTAGTAATTAAATAAAAAAAATACTATTCTGATTCATCAAAATTTGAAAATCCATGCTTATTCCAGTGCTTAATTTTGGAAATAATTTCTACATGGTATAAAATGAATTGCTTAACTTTGTTGTGATAAGTACAATGAAAATGACTGTTAGTTAAGAAAAGAAATTGGTAATTTTTTTTTTTTTAAGCCGCACTTTTTTTTTGCAAACAGGTGAGTGGACAGCATTAACTAGTTGTCATGAAAAGTATCTTAAAAATCCCAATAGAAATCAAAAACTAAGATGTCAAAGAAATTTTTGAGACACATCACTTGCTTATGTATTCCCTTGCCTTTTAATTCTATTCAAGAAAGTAATTCAGAAACGGTGATCAGATTTGTGGAAGGCAAACTCAATCAATGAATTCAAGGACAACCATGTAAGACTAGAGAAAGACAGAGTATGAAGAAAAAAAGGGAATATGAACATTAGAAATATGACCCAATTAATAAGATCTGAAAAAATTCTTCTTCTTCCCATCCAGTCTTCCTAGACTCCAAGTGTACTTTGGCAATGGGAGCTGTAAACCAGGGATGAATGGCAGGATTTTAAGATCACTGTAGCCCCAAGGAACAGCACTTCTGGGTGTTTTAAACACTCTACAGTTCTCAGAGAGGATCAGGATCTTACACCAAGACTGCTTTTAGCTTTGGACAGAAAATATAATAATTTAACTTGGATTCTCTAATCCATAAAATATTTTTTTCTCAGAGTGCTAGATGTTTATTTTATGGCAACTAAAAATCAGTAGTGCCTTTCAGAAGTGAAAATACCTAGCTAGTTAATTCTAACGTTACTTAAACATTCACCAAAAATGCTCCTAGGCACTTACCATCTTCCCCCCAGGCATGTCTGGAAGTCCTAACAGTGCTGAAAATGCAGCTGCTTGACACATGTTCAAGCTTCAAAATCATAATTAAATCTAGCTTTTTGTTATCTCTCTGAACTGACCTCACCCAGAAAAAGTATTTTTAGGGCATATCTGCTAAATTACATTTCCTGTAAAATAAATTATATGATGATGGCTGCACTATCATACTTAACTCATCCAGTTTGGAAGATTTGTCTCTGTACTTCCAAATATTTAAAAGAGAGACAAAACTCCCCTAACACCCCACGATGCTACAGGCTGTATTACAAGACCCACACAATACTATAGGCTGTATTGGGTTTTGCTGGGATGGGGTTTATTCCCCATAGTAGCCTCCGTGGGGCAATAATTCAGTGTGTAGCTGAAACAATGTGGATAATACACCAGCATTTTGGTTATTGCTGAATAGAGCTTGCACAGCATCAAGGCTTTTTCTCTTTTCGATTTTACCCTTCCTGTCCCAGTTGCAGGTTGGCTGGGGGTGGGTACAGGGTTTGGAGGGGACCTAGTCAGGAGAGATGACCCCACATGACCAATAGTCCATATCACACGGTGTTCTGCAATAAAAGCTCAGGAAAAGGACAAGCAAGAAAGAACATTCATGGTTATGATATTTGTCTTCTCAAACAACTGCTACACATGATGAAGCCTTGCTTTCCAAGAAAGGCTGAACATCTGCCCTCTGACGGGAAGTACTGAACAAATTTCTTATTTTGCTTTACCCGCACATGCAGGATTTGCTTTCCCGATGTAACTCATTATCTTCATACACAACTCTGCTTTTACATCTCCTGTTTGCTTCGTGACCCACAGCAGAGAGGAGTGAGAAGAGTGTTTGGTTATTGGTTAGTCAATCCACCACATCCTGTCACTAAATATGTATTGGGAAGGATCCCTGGACCAGAAAGGGATGCACACAGAAGCAAACATGGATCTGGCACACTGACTACAGCATCTCCCTTGCAGAGGAAATAGAAAATGAAACCAAACTAAATTAAACTGCCTTACTCCTGAGAGCAAGAAAGAAAACAAAGGTCTCCCGGTCCACTCTCTCAAATATTAATTTGGAGGAAAAGGTCATTTGTTCATGGCTTATTTTTGTGTCTCATTTTAGAGAATGTTCAAGCATACAAATCCTGAGCAGAAGGAAATGCCTACTGGTAAAGCAGAGGCCCTAAGTTCTGTGGGGCACTATGGTGACCTGAGCTCATCAGACAGGTCAAGGTGAAGTGTTTCTTTGTGTCCCGTGTTAAGTAAGTCCCTCTGTGGCAGTGCTTCTGTGTCCCATATTGGAGAGAAATAAGTCTTCCCAGGCTGGGAAGAGCAAGGTGACTAATTCAGAGTTGTCTATTTCTACAGTAAGCACCTTCTGTTTATTTATCCAGTTCACATCATGTGTTGGAGGCTGAAGCAGCCCACAGGCACTTCTCAGCCTACTGTCAACATTTCTCTTCAATGTATTTGGTCATTTGTTCTTTATTATTTAAGAGAATGGAACTCTAGTACAGAAGTGGCATAAAAGTGTGTAAGTATTAATAGGATGTGTTAAGGCAATAAATCATATTGATTGAACATCTTGTCACTAGTGTAATTGCATCTGTATTTAGGAATTCTAACACCATAGCTGCAGAGGATCCTGGGCACAGGTCCAGTGCTGAAAATGAGAACTGGGGCTCACAGTGTCCCTTCTGGAAGGCTACAGAACACTAAGTGTAAAATGTCTCATCAAAATATAGGAGAAAAGCCAGACAGACCTATTGAAAGTGAGACCATAGCAGATGGTTTTGATGTTAGGATGGAAAACTGAGACAGAAATGATAGGAAGTCTTTTTAAAAAGCTGCATGCAAATGAACAGAGAAATTCTATTTAACTTTTTCCCACTTTGCAATAGTTCAAGTTCCATCAAGGGACTTAATTCTCTTCTGCTTTAGAGCACTGTCATTCTTCTAAATTGCTCTTGGCTGTGATCTTTACCTGTGCTCTGCACCATAATTTCCAAGTTTTATGAATTGTCAGTAACAAACTGGCCAGGACAACCCCTATTAAACTTCCTCATCAACAGTCTTCTGAAAGACAGAACCCAGCAACATGATTGGTGTAGGCAGATAAATAATTAGGCTTATGCATTGGTATCATAAGAAACAGATGTGGACAAAACACGACAGATGAGAGACATTAATTAGGAGCTTCAAAAAAGATAACTAAGATGATGCAAGGAAAGATTAGATACTGGCTAATCAGCTGGCTAGCTTTGTGCTACTTGTTTTTCTTTCCTCCAGTCATCTAAGCCTGTTACTCTCTTTGTGAGGTGTTTGCTTTGTGTTTCTCTATGTCCTTAATCTTCAACAACTATAGTTGATTTTACAGTCTAAATGACAATAATGTCAAATCCTTTTAGAAAAAACAGATTTAAAAAAAATCTAATAAAAACATGCATTTATTTTAGGATAATCTGTTTCCTAGAAGTCATAAAAAAGAAGAGAAATTAATAGGAAAATATTAAGTCAATTAGTTTGAGCTGTTATTTATCATGAGCAATTTCCATCTACAAAAGAAGGATAGACAGACAAATGAAGGGACATTGCAGTATTTTAATTTACACTGTGCATCCGGGTATCTTTCTATTAAGCTAGCAGGATGTACATGGCTCTAAAAGGAAATACCACTAGTAAGGATGACAGCCTAAATGAAATCACTTTTCTTTTTTTCAAAGAAAGGCTAGTTATAGCAAACACAGACTACAAATTATGTGTATATAATATGCTATGATTCACCTGAGTGCAATTGTCATTCCCAATTTCTTTTCCTAGAAAAGAATTTACTGTGCAACTGTAAAAGAAATTATTAATTGCAAGATTTGTTTATAAGATAACTTCTATGTAATACCAAACAGAATTTCTGTGTGAAAATAAACCAACTCTACATATTTATAAAAAAAACCCTTAATACTTACATAAGGGATTGTGTCCAAGGTGTCTGTGTTGACAATTATAGGGGCAGGGCTTGCCTGAAAGAGAAAAAAAAAAAAGAGAAAATAAATTTAAATACCTGAAATCCATTAATATTGAAATACCCATGGTGATACATTAAGTTAAAAGTCTAAAAGCCTGTTTTCCCATTGAATTCAAATCATACAACAGTACATATCTGTGGGTACTGCTCAATCAAGGATGAAGGAAATGGATTCACAGCCTCCAAACCACAGCTCACTGGGGCCTTTCCTTTCAGTTTCTCCAGGCTTTAGACCACATCCTGAATATGTATTATCCAGTTGTTCATTTCTCAGTTAAACTATAAGAAACCTGATGTATTCAACTAGGGGATGTTGAGGTTGAGGGTTTCAGCTTCCCTACCTGACAAATCCACCTTTTGTGTTTGAACCAAGATGATTAACTGATCCTTACAGAAGATAAACATTTCATGTTTCCATTACTAAGAAGTATTGTATAGGAGTATATGTAAGCACATATATTATGATATTTATGTCAAAGTTATATAATTGGCATGGTTCATATACACTCAGTTGAGGTTCAGATTGAAATACAGACCAGTTTAAAAAGACTTGTGCCTCTGCAAAGTTGCCCAACCTGATCTTTAATTTCTTGGTGAAGCTCAGGCTAGCTTCCAACCACCTGAACCTCTTGCACTTCCCATTCTGGGATTCAGTGCTAGTGACCCAATGCCAAGCTCTGATATGACCCAGCTGCATAAACTTGGCTCAGACTCTGAAGAAAACCAGACAGTTGTGAGAAAATGTAAGCCAGAGGCAAGCACCATCAGCAAACTGTAAAACTGAGGCAGGACTGCCGAGATGGAATTGTTAATGACTCAAGGACTCAGAAGGATCGACATGCAGTGAGTGTAGCACAAAAAGTGATGGAAGGCACCCTTTCCCAGCCTCAGTAATGCCTACTTGGGCAGCAAAGACTCTTCAGGCTCTTCACTGGACTGATGAAAATACTAATGCTCAGTGGCTCACTAGTTCTATTCATCCACACTGTGTATTTGTCACTGAATGACTGGCTGCACTTTAAACTCTTGCAGACTGCAGGGTCTCTGTGTGCATGGTAGGCATGAACTGCTGAAAACACTGATCCTATTTCTGTCATCAAATATTTACTGTGGGATTTCAAAACCAAAGTAACAACCCAAATTAAGAATGTGACATTAGTGCAATAATTCAAACAATATGAGAATAACACAGGTTTTCCTAACCAGTTTTTGTGCAGTCATTCAAGGATAATTCAGTATTCGAAGAAATTTTATATTACTGGACGAAGTCTACTGCTGATTAAATGCCATAATTTCTACACAATAGTGTAAGCCATGAATTAAAATTAAATGCATACAGTTTGGTGTGTCTGCATTTCATGGTATGAACCAGATGTCGTGGTATTATTTGATATTAAAATACTTAATATCTCAAAAGATATTATATGCCCATACCCTGTTATTCTCATTGTGTCCTAAAACACTGGACACATTGAAGTGGTAGGAAATAATTAGTTTTGCCTTCAGTGATAATGCAACTATAGGCATATTCCATATACCTAAAACTAAAAATATTACAATCACATGGCCTTCATCTTTCACCTTTCTAGAATCACAGTTTTTACTTACCCTAATATTTAGCTCAATACACTTTAAAAAGAGCAACCTTTGCTAAAGGAAGAATAAGCTTGGGAATTTTTTACAATATTGATTTTTTTCTCCTTTTTATTTTTACCTACTGTGTTGGCCTATTACCAACTACAAAAAAAAAGTTTGCAATTTTCAGAATACAAGCATTTTTCCACTGATGATTTAAGAAGATAGTATCTACTAAAATAACAAAAATCTTCCAGGAGTCATTTTCCAAAGCATTTGCCCAAATCTCTTTAACCTATTGAAGAACAAATCCTTTTATCTGTATCAGATCTTCCTGAAGTAAAACTAAAGAAATCAGAAACAAATGTGGGAACACTTGGGACTGGACACAGTACTCTTGGTGCAGTCTGACAGGGGATGGATAAGATGTCCCTCTCCCTGCTGCCCAGGCTGGCTGTGCAGCCCAGTTTGCCATTTCCCCTCACTGCTGCAATGGCTGACTCATGTGCAACTACTTCTCCTTTCTATAAAGCTGCAGCTTAGCCAGACTGTGCCTGGCTGGGACTGCTCCATGTTTTATTCTGCCATGGAGAACTCTTGTATGTTTGCATTGAACTTTGTGAGGTTCCTCTCAGCCCATTCCTCCTTTCTACTGATATTCCTCAGAAGAGCAGGGAACAGTCCAGTGTATCATCTGCTCTTCCCAGCCTGGTGTTATGTCAAACCTTGCTGACAGTGCTCTCTAAATAATCATTCTGGTTATTGATGAAGATATTAAACAGCATTAATATCTCTTTCAACTCTGTATGAGTACCACAAGTAACTTGCCATCAGTAACTGAACTCTGATCACTGCTGTTTAGGTCTGGTGGTCCAGCCAGTGTCCCACTCATCTTCTAGTATACCCATCCATTTAGTTTCTCTCTCATTTGGCTATGAAAGAGAATCTGTGCTGAAAACCTTACTAAAATCCAGGCAAAATATATTTACTGATTTTCCCTCATCCACAGAGCTAGTGGATTTCTCATCAGAGAAGGATGTTAGGTTGGCAAGGTAAAATCCAAACATTTGTAAACATTTGTAAATTTACCTCCCTCTTTTTAATCACCTCCCTCTGTCCTTTGTGAGCCTTGACTAAATCTTCTGGAGGTCCATATGATGGATACTCACCACAATGCTTCCATTTATTAGCTTCCTAACTAATCCTGATCCCTGGGTTATCACTTGGGTCCATCATCCCTTCCACAGCAAAAATCTGATCATTTAAAGCTGCTCCTTTGAATGATGTGATCCTTTCCTGACTGGCCTTGCTACAGAGCCTGTAAAGAATTAGTTTACAAGCCAGTATCACTCAAGGTTCATTTCAACACTGTGCTTACCATACCCCTTACTGATTGGAAAAACTAAACTAAACGATCAAACTCATGATTTTCTGCAACTGAGGCATTTATTCCGTTCACACAGATGGGCATGAAAAAATTCACAGCACAATAGTTTCAGATGGATATTCTGACTATAAGCACTCACAACTAATATGATCAGTGCATTCGCCTTCCCTGCTCCTCCTGTTCCTATCTGTGCATGTGAGTCTCTGTGTGTGTGGGCAGGGGAACAGTGCTGCTTGTTACAACTTGTCTTTTAAGGTTGGTTTTTTGTTTTGTTGTTTTTGGGTTTTTTTTTGGTGGGAGGGAGGATGTTTGTATTGTTGGGGTTTTTTTAATAAGAAATATTATTTAATACAAACATTTTGCTCCCATCTCTCTGATATATAGTAATTTGAGGAACACTAAGCTCCTGAGCTGCAAAATTGCATTAAAGTGCAGGAAATGGAGGTTATTTCATTAGCTGGGCCCTGTTTGTAGCTCACGCTTTCAAGTAGGAGACTTCAATCATGCAAAGTTGCAAAGATGGTTTGCAATCACCAGAGAGCCCTAAATACAGTGCTAGCCATGGAGTACACAATGGCATCAAAACAGTCCTGAAACCACAGTGAAATTAGTGAAGGGATAACAACAGTATCAACAAGGAGTTAAAGACTTTACTTTCCAGAATGATCCATCTGTGTCTATGCTGACTTGAAAATATGTCACACCGGTTCACCAAATTCTCGGGTATCTCTGTACTTCTAATGAAGAACATTGAGAAATCTATGAACCAGGATTCATCAACAGTACACCCAACTGTGCATAAATTAACAAAGGCATGCACAAACATGTCTAGATTCTCTTGAGAACCTCTAGCTAGAGCGTCTTTGAGACAGCACTGCCTCTAATCTCTCAATCTGTACAACTCATACAGATGTATATCATCTTTATCTAGGCTTGAGACTGCGTGAGAAGAAATAACTTTCTGGAAGATAATGACTCTGTTCCTAACTTTGTGCTTTGACCTCCTCCACAATCTTGACCAAGACACTGAATTACATTTTATTAAGTAAATTACACTTCACCAGCTTTTCCCAGATGCAAAATAAAACCGAATGAATCAACAGAAGTGTTAATATTACTGAGTGCGGTGAATTGAGTAATCCCGTTTTCCCCATTCCTCACTCACTTCCCTCTCCATCTCAATCCCTACCTATACATTAAGTATTATACTAAGCTGACAGTGTACTGTGCAGTCAGACTTACAGACTTACTGTGCAGTCCTGCTCCCTGCATGGGCCTTTCTCCTACCCTTGACTGGAAGCACTGCTTTCAGCTGAGCCATCTCTGTGCTTTGAAAAAAGGCATCACACTGACAGCTGCAGTGACAGATTGGCATCGCTGAGACAAAACTTGAATAGCTTTGGGGGAAAAAAAATAAAAATGGAAGATATTTTTTATTCTTCTTATAGGACTTGAGCAAAACACACTTTGCTTCCACAAATATATACAAGATTGTTCTGCTTGCAGCACATCAGACAGTCTAGTTGCTTTTCTGTCAAAAGCACAAGTTAGAAGCAAGATAGAGTAAAAGAACTTGAAGAACAAAAAGGCACATGATCTAGTTCATGAGCAATTACTCTGCTACCAAATTCTCTACAAGTGTATGACGTGATTCATACCTCTCAGGCAAGATGAACTTCACCATGAGTGCTAGCATTATCCTAGTTTACTGGTTTTAATCATACTACTCACAGTTTTAGAGACTATCCATATCATACTGGGTTGCTTTCTGAAGCATTTGTAAGCCCTTGTTTTAACTGTTCCTACTATGCAGGACTATATTCAACACCAGACCACAAAATCACAACCATACTTATGTGGCCACTACTTTATAAATCATAAGCACAGCACATTACTTCTTAACAAGAAAACACAACCAAGTATGTCAGCATTTTCAAACTGCCCACCTATGCTTATTTCTAGCTGTGATTTTAATTTCATAGAATCAATACGGTTGGCAGTGACCTCTAGGATCAAGTCCAATCAATAATCCA